CTGCCCTGCAGGCCTACTATGCCCTCTGTGCTAACATCTGCAGTCACTGTACGCACTGACCCGCTTAAGGATGATGTCTGTACTACTTTGGCCAGGCGCTGGCAGCCAGCCCTGTCCATCTCTACTCCGCAATGCTTTGACAGCGTTGACCACGCTCCTTAAAATACCAGTTAAACGTATCTCTTAGTCACTCTCTAGCTACTGCCCACTGCTACTGCATGCCAAATCTATTTTTTCACCTGAGCCAAACCCCCTAAGCAGATCTCCATAAGCAAGACTGTGAGACCACCTGCACAGTCTAAGCGCCACTTGTAACCGCCCGCTTTTAAAAACTCGCCACGACAACAATCCACCTCTGCATACACAGCAGTACCCACCACTATCAACAACCTCGCGGCCTCTCACATAGACCAAGCCTACAAGGTATGCAGAACAAAGAACCATCAACCAGCCTACAGACACTTACACTCACAACACCAGCGCATGGACAAACCGCAGGAAACCAGCAAGCCAAAGCCGGCCCCAAGCCCTCGACCCCCTCCAGGCCTTCACACATCCAGCGGTCCACCGCCGAACGCCCGCAAAGACGGCCCCATCTATGCCTCACGTAAGCGCTCCCACCCAACCACAGCTGACGCAAAGCTAACGACTCAAACTCCAGCCCAACCGTCCACTCCTCAGGGCCCATACCAGCCCCGCACACCTGAGAAGCCCTTCTCCATACAGTCCCGACTCCCACCGCTCTCTACCAATGATGAAGACGATGCTACTGGACCCCAGACACCCCGTACCGGTCGAACCAACCGCTCTATGCACGCCAGCTCCCAATCACAAAATGCGACGCACACCACAGCACACTCCTCCAAGCCTCTAACTCCTGTACAGGCACAACCAGATGATGACACGGAAATGGCCAACACCGGCAACCAACAAGAAGGGCACCCCAGAAGCGCCTCCTCCAATGAGGACCTGTACCTCAACAACAGACAGGTTGTCACACTCGATGAAGCCATCGCCGCCATGCCCATCCCAGATGTTGGCCTTCCACCCGTATGCCTAAGCGACCCCGACTACCTACACCACAGACAGCTCCGAGAACAGCTTCTCGACTGGGGAGTTCTTCCAGGCTACGTTGTCTTCACCATCCGCTTCTGCGCTACCTTATGGACTGATGAAGGACAGACAGTCTTTCTCCTCGAGCAGACACTCCACGACCTTGGGTTCACCGTCACTCGCGTCGCTGCCCCGTGTGCAGATGGTCACCATCGCTCTGATGGCCCGTTCCTATATGCTATCTACAACCTGTCCCAGCAGGACCACGACACTCTCTTGGACCGCTTCTGCTGGTCCACGGCCCCATGCACCTTCTTCTGCTGGCCATCCACACCCCAGCTGCTCCTCACATACATCGGCCAATATTCTGGGGCTTCAGCACCTATGAAGAAAGTGCTATCCATGGGGTTTTCATTGCAAAATTCTCACGTGGTAAGCTCGCACAACTGCTGGCCTACCTGTTGTCAATGCACCCCTATTACGCCGACATGAAGCGAGAACAGGCTATCAGACGCCTGCTCCTGACCATTCAAGTCACAATACTTCGGATGTCTGACTCCAAAGGACACACATCCTGGCCACTTGTCAATCTCTACATTGACCCCCTGATGCTGGACAACTGAACATGGCGTGAGTTTCGCAATGCCGTAACACGTCACGTCTTTGCCCACAGCATGTTTGGCACTGGCCGCATCCACACGAACATAAAACTGTGCCCAGAATGCCTCGGAGCCGACCATCTGCTTGGCCACTGCCTCTACCCCATGCTTGATGGCTGGCTAGGCCCACCACCCACCATAGTTAACAGAGAAGCAGAGCTGCTCATTCCTGCCCACCTGCTGCGCACCAATGACGTCGAGACCTCAAGCTCCTCACCCCAACAGCATGGAGAACATAGTGAACACGGTCGCGGCTGAGGCCAACGTCACAGCCAAAACTATAGCCAGCACC